ACCTCAGCCATGTATGTTCTCGTTCGTGGGTTGCTGTTCTGCTAACTCTTCTTTGCGCCCTGATTCAATTCTCTTCTGCAATCAAGGCTTTTGGGAGGGATTCAGTTGTCGAAGTCAATGAACAAAGCTCTAAAGTCGTACTCGCCGCGTAGTTCAGGCTTTGAAGCTGTAGGGATGCACTACAGGTTCGCAGATGATCCATTTCGGGCCCTAAGACCTAAACCCGAAAACAGTAACCCCTGAACCCCGAACCCTGAAACCCTCAAGCCCTGTTGCAACCGTTACAATACGCTGACAACAGGATTCTGGAGAGTCCTTCAAAATCGCACAAATGTACATTTCCTTATAGGGTCCCTTTAAGGGAACCCGCAAAGGAACCTCACTGCTGTCGGCGCCAAAGTCGGGATGCCCCCAGGTCACCACGCGAGCATCGCCCAGGATGGCAGCAAAGGCATGGTAGCTGCTCTGGATCTTCTTCACACCTTTCCTGGGCTTTGGGTATTGGGTTTAGGGGTTCGGGTTCAGGGTTTAAGGCTTAGGGTCTTAGGCTTTGGGTTTAAGTCTAGGATATCAAGGATGGTAGAAGCTCTGGATCTTCTTCACACCTTTCGTTGTTTTGCTTTTCTTGGCACGAGAAGCTTTATGTTCGAAGGGCTTTTGTGATTAGTTTAAACGCCCTTCCATTTTAGGGCTTGGGAGTTGAACTTCAGGCTGTGGGGGGTTGTACGATCGAGATTAGGGCTTAGGGTTTTGAAGTGCATGGGTTGATCATAAGACTTTAGAGCTCGTACAAAAATCAACACATGACCGAAGAAATTAACAGATAACTCCACACACACACACACATACAATTGACCGACAGGTATACCAGTATACTACATACCAAAGTTGCTATAGGGGGGCATAATAAGTAGAAGAGGGTTTCGGGGCCCATCATACTATACCCATAATAAGGACCCCCCAAGAAAAAACTTGTAATTATTTCGGCCCCTACATTATAGTACCCTTATAGATCCTATATGGTAGCCCTTATAGACCCCTTTAAAGGAACCCTATTCTAACTATTGAATCCCTTTAAGGAGCCCTGTCATAGGATATCCCCTTTGAACCCCCTTTATAATGAAGCCCAATAAGGTAGGGATATCCCTATAAAATGTTTATGCTTATGTGCTTTTTTGGGGTCCTTATTTCAGGATCCCGAATGATTACGGTGCCAACCATGCTTCAGCTCATCTTTCACAGCCTTGCAGTCACCTCCATGGAGGGAAGAGCCCCAGGTCACCACGCTCCTTTGTCGCGCAAAGCAAAACCGCATTAAAGGCTTTAGGGTAGGGTTTAGGGTTTGGGGTTTAGGATTTAGGGCTCCAGCAAACCATCCATGAAACCTGAAATCCTAAATCGTAGTCACTGGTTGCTCGTGGTCTGGATGAACTCTACTCGTGGCAATCGTCGCAAGCAGCAGCAGTAGCTGCAGCTACTCGGACATAGTAATTGTAGCAGGAGGAGCAGCACGAGCAGGAGGAGGAGGAGGAGGAGGAGGAGCAGTAGGAGCAGTAGGACAATAGGAGTAGCAGGAACAGTAGTACGAGCAGAAGGAGCAGTAGAGAGCAGCAGCAGGAGGAGGAGCAGTAGTAATCAAGAAATGGTCACAGCAGTCCTCATAGCGGTAGAGGTGGTAGTGGTAGTAGTAGTAGTAGTAGTAGTAGTAGTAGTAGTAGTAGTAGTAGTAGTAGCAGTACTAGTAGTAGTAGCAGTAGTAGTAGTGGTAGTGGTAGTGGTAGTAGCAGCAGCAGTAGTAGTACGAGGCGTTGGGTTCATCTCACATCAGCAGGGAAATTACACATCAGAATTAGCTAAACCCCACGCGGGCTTCAACAAGCACACAGCAGATAGGCCCAAGTGCCGGATTTGTTGCAGACGCTGAGGTATGCACTACATTTGGAAGCATTCCAAGATAAGAAACCGTTGTGACTGCCTTGTAGACGCTGGGATTTGGAGTAGTCCAAACATTAGCTATCCTACGCCTTCTGGACACTACCCAGTTCACACATGTCCCCAATAATACACATGCACACACTCGTGCGAAGGTGGGTTCACACGCAAGCCCACTGAGACTGACAGATGCGAGTGCGTGCTGCAGACGCCGAAGAATATTAAAGTGCAGATACGAAGCTTGATAAGATGATGTACCGTCTACAATGTGTTCCCCGAAGTAGACGCCTTGCAGATGTGTAAAACACCCAGATGATACGAGATAGCCCCAGGACCAAGTAGCAGAGGAAGAAGTAGAAGTAGTAGTAATAGTGATAGTAGTAGCGGCAGCTGCAGCAGTACATCGCGGTAGTGGTCTTGGTGCCGGCAGCAAGACAACGCAAACAGGAGATGACGTCCAGCAGTACTTCATAATCAAGCTGTAGATTAATATAGGGGACTTAATAATTAGAATAGGGTTGTTGAAACAATTATACTATAACTATAATACGGAACCTCCTAAAATAGTAGAAGTAATTATTAAGGCCCCTATAGTGTGATGCTAGCTTCGTCTTGTTTTCGTTGAGCCTTTCCCTGGAAACTTGTGGCGTTGCAAGAAAACAGGCGCAGACTTTCTCAGCGCACAACAGGAACCCGGCGGCAGTGGATTCCAACGGCACTTTCGGTATCATCGGCTGATTTCAGAGGACAGTGGGTTGCTAAAATCCCCAGAGCTGCAGAATCGACATTTTCCTTGTGTCAAAGTAGTCGCCGCTAGTTACCCAAACCCAAAGTATAAAGTCCTAAACCCCATACGCTCAACCCTAGCCGCAGACAGGATACCCGTCAAGCAAGAGAGCTGCAAAGGCATAGGCGGAAGCCTCGATCTCTTGGGTTCTCTTGGGTTTAGGGTTTTAGGGCTTTAGGGCTTTAGGGTTTTAGGGCTTTAGGGGCTTTAGGGTTTTAGGGCTTTAGGGCTTTAGGGTTTGAGGGCCTTAGGGTTTAGGGTTTTAGGGCTTTTGGGTTTAGGGTTTTAGGGCTTTTGGGTTTAGGGTTGTAGGGTTCTACCATGACCAGGAGCTTACAACACTTTTTAAATAAATATACAGGGTTCTATACTATACAGAGGTTCAACATTTTCCGAATGTCTCAAGCGTTGTGAACGTAGGGTCAACCCTCAAATCTAACCCTCAGCCCTGAACCCCGGCCTGGATATCTTTGACCTCCTTTAGCTGGTGCTGGACCTCGCTGCTGTCACCCCCGAGTCCTCGGTGTGTTGATGCTGCGTGATAGTGGGAATAGGGCTTTTGGGTATTATATATATATACACATACAAACATATGTATATGTATATGTATATGTATACGTATATGCATATATATATATAATATAATGATAATAATAATAATAAGAATAAGAATAAGAATAAGAATAAGAATAAGAATAAGAATAAGAATAATAATAATAATAATAAGAATAGTAGTAATAATAATAAGAATAAGAATAATAATAAGAATAATAATAATAAGAAGAAGAATAGTTATAATAAGAATAATAACAATAATAAGGTGTATATATATATATATATGTATATACATAAACACCGCCAAATATTATACATACAGACATACACACAGTACATACATACAATACATGCGTACAAACATACACGTACGCACATACATACACGCATGCATGCAGACATGAATGCATACACATACATATACACACACGTATACACATACACATATACGTATACCTATACATATACGAATGAATTTGTTTATGTATATGTGCAAATGCATATATGCGAATATGCACATATGTCATTATGTTTACAGGTTTGTGTAAACATATACATTTACATAAATACAACTATATGACTAAACATGTACATATGTATACACAACTATATGACTATATATACACGTATATGTGTGTAAATATATTTGTAAATAAGTGTACATATATACACTGATACTCCTGTTACACGCAGACACACACACACACATATATATATATATAGAGAGAGAGAGAGAGAGAGAGAGAGAGAGAGCTTGACTACTTACTGTTGTTTTTACTACATATGTAGACCCTCTGGTAAGGTGAGTATTTTGAAGCTTAATGCTTATGCCGTTAGGTGAACTTCTGGTTTTAAAGTTGGGTTTATATGAAAGGCTATAACCTGCGGCGGTATACTCTATACAAGGTAACTCAGGTACGTGGCAGGGTGACAGCAGGGTTGATAGAGTTTCACTTACGGCCAAAGAAATAGATGCACAATCGCGTTTCAATGTTAGGGCTCTGCACAAGGAGCTCAGAAATTACGAGCATCAAAACAAGGGAGACATGAAGACTGACACAGAACACAGAGATCTTCATTGCAAGATACTTAGGGCTGATACCTTAGTAAGAACGGAGGTATCCGAGGCAATAGCCAGACCTGATCCAGGGTTCCGTCATATCTAGAATAGTCAGGATTCCGGTGAATATTACGTACACTTCCATAATTTTGTGTGATACTATTGTGTTCTTACTTTACACGAGCAAAACAGTTATCAGGCTTGTATATCATAGCCCCTCCACCCTACACCACGGCGGCAAACCCATCCGACCAACATGCCGCAGCCTTAAATCTAGGGTTCAGCGATGTGCACTTTAGGGTTTAGTACCAAAGCATTTAGGTTGTAGGGGTTCGTTGCAACGGTTTTACTGTTTATGGTCAACCTGCAGCAGTATCGGAACCCAGATTCTGAACCTGAAACCCTTTAAACCCCAATTCCCAAACCCTTAGGGTTTAGGGTTTAGGGTTCTCATGTCAGAGAAGCATCCTGGATCACCCCAGGTCACCACAGATCGATCCTGGAGAATGGCAGCAAAAGCAACAGTGGTCGCCTGGCACAACAAGCCACAAGCTGCGGTTTCGGTAAGGCTCGGGTGTTGGTGTGAAAGGCATCCATGTTTGTAGGTTCTTCACTATAAGCCCTAAAAAAGAAGTTGGGGACCTTACAAAAATAGGTTTTGGTAGATTAGGGTAGTAAAGTAAGAGAAGGCAACAAGAGAAACGATACGGTTGTTATGGTAACCATCTCGTCTTTCGTCTTGGCCTGAATCTGACAGACAGTCTTCAGATGTCGAACACTGCGATGGTCACCGCCCAGGTTTTCATCCGACCATGGCACGACACTTCCATCTCTCAACAGAGCGGCGAAGGTGTAAGTTGTTGCCTGAAGGTGCTGTACGTCTTTCAGCTGCGGTTGAACTGATCTGCTGTCCCCGCCGAAATTTCGATCACCCCAAGTCACCACGCGGCCGTCAGACAAAAGCGCTGCAAAAGCATTCTCCGTCGCCTGGATCTGCTTGACGCCCTTCAAGAGGCCCTGAACTTTTTTACAGCTGCCCCCTGCATCCGGATTTCCCCAGGCCACCACCTGTCTTGTGCAGGACACAAAGTTAACCTTTGGGAGTAATCTACGGATCTTACTGTATTTATGATCATGAACCACCCCAAGATTGTGTTGGTTGTTGTTTAGACCCATAGATTATGTCAGAAAATGTGTAAAGGTGGCTATATAAAAGGATGATGCTACTCCCCCAAATTAACCACTGTAAAGGGTTATGGTGGTTTTCCTTTGTGGGACTGCATTAGGAGTTAAACGTGTCGGTGTCATAAACTTAAGGGTGATGAGCAAGAAATCACCTGGAACTGTAATTACACAGTTATACTACTTCAATAAGGTTAAGTTTGGCATTATGTAAGGACTACACTGCCCCCCCTACCGTCCCCGCAAGGTTTTAATCTGGTGAGATAACTTGAGGACGATGCTAAACCGCACCCCAAAAAAGCTATCGACGTTTTCAAAGTTGATTTTATAAGGAGGCTGCTGCCCCAACAAGGTTAACATCTCGAGACTATGTAATCAAAATTAACTCTTTCAGAGTGTCCAAGTAAGATGCGGCCACCGAAAAGGACTACACCCCCCCCCCCCCGACAAGTCTTTATATATGTATACACATGTTAATATCAAGGAAAAACCTTTAGAGGCTACTAGGTAAGCCCAAACCCCAAACCTCAAAAGGTCAAAGCTTACCTGCTCCACTACCAAGCCACGAGCCCATCGGCCCTCAAAGCGGCGAAACCACCACCGACCGTCGCCTGGATCTTCACCACATTTTTCAGCCTCCCACGCACCTGATCCTGGGTTCTTCAATCGCAAGCTAACAAAAAAGACATGTTTTGAGTATCTACAGGTAAGGTACCAAGAAAGCAGTTTTGTAATATCTTGAGCTACCAAGACTTGAAGGTTTACAACGGTCTGTATATCGCCACTATGGTAACTTGAAGTATATAAGCTCCTGAACAGAAGCCAGGATCACTATCTCCGCCGTGATCTGGTGAGCCCCAGGTGACGACACTCCCATCTTGCAAGATGGCGGCAAAGCTACAGCTGGTGGCCTGGATCTGCTGTACGCCCCGAAGACGATCTTGAACTTCCCTACTGTCAGCTCCATACTCAGGATCGCCCCATGTCACGACGTTTCCGTCAGCCAAGATAGCCGCGAAGGCTCGATCTGAAGCCTGTATCTGCTGTACATCTTTCAGACAATATCGAACAGCACTGCTATCACCTCCGTATGAACGAAGGCCCCAGGTGATCACACCACCAGCCGGGTTACGCCACGCGAAAGCCCCCTTGTTAGCAGCCAGAAACGTTCCGTGCGGTTGCCTTACCTCCAACGTCTGTCGGGCATTGGTTGCAGACGGCGGGTCATTAGTCGTCTCCGGCGTCTGCCGGGCATTGGGTACAGACGCCAAGTCCACCGGGTCACCGATGACCTCCGGCGTCTGTCGGGCATTGGCAATGCTTACAGACGCCCGAGCACTGAGGAACGCACTTGTGGCATCCTTCACCCGCTTCAAGGCCCGAGAGCAACAACGCAGCAAAGAGAAACTCCTCTTCCTCCCCAGTCTCTCATCGTCAGTCATCGAGAGTGGCCTGCATGCCTCTAGGTGGCGGCCGCACTGATGAGCCAACAAAAGCGCAGAAAACGGAAACTATCTTGAACCTCGAAGAATGCAGATCCTAGATTGCAGCACCTCCGCTTGACTTTGTGCTTAGAACCTTACATTCAGAGAACGATAGTAGCAAACGAAGGTACTACAATTCAGGGTCTCTGTGCGTAATGTGTGCCAGACCATGCCAGCTTCAAACACTCACGCGAGCCGAAAGCAAACCCTAAACCAAAACTCATTTCTTAAACCCTAAACCAATCCAATGAGTTACCAGACCTCGACTATCGAACGGCTACTCTACAACAGCAGCACTTTGTAACCTCGATCACGGATGAGTAGTTCCATTATCCCGCTACTTTCAGGGTATATCATAAGGAGGATAATGCTCCAAGATCTGGCATACACTGCAATTGCAAACCGTACAGTCTAGCGGTTTCGACTGTTCAATCGCTTTCTTTGCACAGTCCCGCTTGGGCCCTGTCGCAGCTTCTCACTCAATACTCTTGCATTGGCTTTCGGATCGCAAAGCCCCATGTCAAGCTAGACTTATTGAAAAGACCTGAGGACTTGGGGTTCAGCGTCTACGGCTTTGAAGTTTCAGGGATGGACAGGTTCGGAGTCTGAGGGGTTTAAGGGCTCTAGGGGGTGCAGGGTAGCCTGAAGGTCCCAAAGACACGTTCAAACCCGCTTGTCCACAAAAACCTTGAATCTTCGTTCCTCATCGTTCAGGTCCCGAGCCAAACACTCTGCCAACCCTCCTCGTAGCCCATGCCAAGCCGTGTCAAGAGGTTCGCATTGTCAACCATTAGAAGAGTACAACAGCAGGATGGCAATCGTCCTCGTAGTGCTCGTGAAAGTAGTCGATGCGGTGGAATAGTTGCAGTCAGTGGAGTGGTCGGATTAATTCAGGCCGAAGTGGTGTTGGTTGTGGTGGTGGTGGTGGTGGTGGTGGTGGTGGTGGTGGTGGTGGTGGTGGTGGAGGTGGTGGTGGAGGTGGAGGTGGAGGTGGTGGTGGAGGTGGAGGTGGAGGTGGAGGTGGAGGTGGAGGCGGAGGTGGAGGCGGAGGTGGTGGTGCAGGTGGTGGTGCAGGTGGTGGTGCAGGTGGTGGTGCAGGTGGTGGTGGTGGTGGTGGTGGTGGTGGTGGTGGTGGTGGTGGTGGTGGTGGTGGTGGTGGTGGTGGTGGTGGTGGTGGTGGTGGTGGTGGTGGTGGTGGTGGTGGTGGTGGTGGTGGTGGTGGTGGTGGTGGTGGTGGTGGTGGTGGTGGTGGTGGTGGTGGTGGTGGTGGTGGTGGTGGTGGTGGTGGTGGTGCGGCAGTAGGAGTCGTCGTCGTCGTCGTCGTCGTCGTGGTAGTAGTAGTAGTAGTAGTAGTAGTAGTAGTAGTAGTAGTAGTAGTAGTAGTAGTAGTAGTAGTAGTAGTAGTAGTAGTAGTAGTAGTAGTAGTAGTAGTAGTAGTAATAACTGCAGCTGTTGCCAATGCTTGTTGTCGTCGGTGGCTGTGCTGCTGCTCTTGCTGCTACTTCTGTCCTTGTCGCCATGGTTGCAGTTTGTTCGCACATCTCTATACAAGTCTTTCCTCTCCCTTGATAATTGATTACCAGCCAGTGTACGAGTATCATGTGTCTCTCCCTAATCAAGTGGCCAGTCGTACTCGGGTCCCGACATTGTGCACGTCGGTTTTGTCAAGCATCAGGCGGTCGCTGCCCGTCGCCCGAGGTAGCTTGATGATGAAGGTGGAAGGTGCATCCTTCTCGCTTTGGATCCTAAACCCTAAACCGTAAACCCTTAATCCTCCATCTGGTTCTGGAGCCTACAGTCTGATTTTTGGGTCTTTGCTCATTCAGGTTGAATCTCAGTCACGGTCCGCTTGCCAACAGTCTGCCACAAACTGGCGTCGCTAGACAGCATGTGCGCATTGGAACCCCCAGAAAGACTCACTAGCACAAGTACTGCAATAAGGGAGCCAATGCGCACAGTCAAAAGATTCTCAAAATCATGTTGATATGGCTCCAGCCGTTAGGGCAGAAGCGTACGTTTGCAAGTCCTTACAGCTTGCACATTGCACATGAACGGCTTAGCTTCTAAGCCGATTTCAGACCGCTCTGGAATGAGAAACGGAAAGAGGTGTTGAAACCGGCACAGCGACAAACAAACTCCCATGCGCATCTGTAGCCATAGTATGTGCGCTAGATCTCAAAATCGATGCTGTAGCTCGATCTAGAGAAACCTCCTGAACGACGCAACCTGAGAAACCCAAACGCAAACCCTGCTCCCGAAATGCTCACCCAGCAACTCCTCGGTCCAAAACAGAACTAAACTCTAAACCTAAAAACCGTAAACCCTAAAACCCTGAACCCTAAACCCCGAAACCCTAAACTCTGAGATCTAAAACCCTGAACCCTAAAACCCTAAACCCCTAAAGCCGCATGGCTCAGCTCTATCGTCCTTGGCACCAAGCCCAACACTGAAGGCGTAACCTTCATCCTCCTCGCCGTCCTGAGGTGAGGAAAATCTCCACGTTAGGGTCTTCGGCTTAAGTTTAGGATTTGTGGCATTTTAGGGTTTCTTAAGTTTAGGATTTTGGTGCGTTTTAGGGTTTAGGGCCTTAGGGGTTTAGGATTTATGTTGTAGGCATGGACCGAAACTTGAAACTTGAACTGAGAGACCTGGAACCCTCTGTTGGGGATCTCATTTAACCCTAGGCATCTAAGGGCTCACATATTAAGGCTTTTGGGCCCAAAGACCATACTATATAAAACTTCTATTTTGATGCCCAGGGTAAGGGCCTTGTCTTGTCTTGTCTTGTGGTCGGATCGTCGTGCCACTATTCGCGGCGCATCCCAAAAATCATGCAGTGAATTCGTGCCTCGGGATTTTAGGGCCTCCCCTGGAAGGCCACGACAAAACCGGCGATCCTTATTTAAAGGTGTTCCGGGTTTCATGTTTGTCCAGCCATGCAGGAAAAGCTCCGCAAAGCGCCTGCAAGAAAAAGCTGGGCTAGCCTTTGTATGATCCTGTAAACGCGCGGCATTTGCAAAAGTGCCTTCTCGCGAGATAAAAAGCCAGACGACACGCTAAGAAGCTAATCCACAGCAGCTGTACCAAACTCTGAGTCGTTCCTCCGGGGGTCAAGGAGGCAATCAACAGAGCAAGACTACCCCTAAAAAGGCAGGATCTTCCTCAAAGTTTCAATTGAGGCCATCCCTGCGCAACTTTGACCGTAGTCGCCACAACACCTGTGTAAAGGTGATCTATACAACATCGGCCAGCTCTCACTGCATCGCCTTCCATCCTGCAAAGTCGCATGATGTCGGCCTGGATGCCAGTGCCATGGCGCACTCCCTCGCACTCCTGGTTGCAAGGGGCATCCATCTTGTTAACGTCGTCGTGTAGCATGAAGCGAGGTTCAAATGCCTCGCACTCCAGCTTGCCAAAGCCCATGCTGCTTCTTTAGCCTCCAGTCGTCCAGTTTTGCCATTGCACTCCTGGTTGCAAGGGCTGTCCACATCAACATGTTGTAGAATGAGGGTGAAAGTCTGATCAAGCTCATCGCCCCTCAGCATACCCAAACTCATACTTATGCCGTCGTGCTCCAAGGTGAGCGTCAGGATCTTGACCAGGATCTGCATGCCGCCTCGCAAGTGCGGCGCCAAGTAAAGAGTCGCTTCCTTCTGCAGGTTGTAATCCGAAAGAGTACGGCCGCCCTCAAACTGCATGCCAGCAAAGATCAGGTGCTGCTGGTCAGGCGGGATGCCTGCCTTAATTTGGGACTTCTCCTTGACAATGTCGAACGTGCCACTGGCCTCAACGTCCAACGTAATCGTCTTGCCTGTCAGGGTCTTGTCAAAGATCTGCATGCCGCCTCGCAAGCGCGGCACCAGGCGAAGGCGTGCCTTCCATGGGCACTGGGGCTACCGATAGTTCCGCGCTGCTGCGGCCATTCGAGCCCTGGGTAAGGGCCTTAATAATTAGAATAGGGCTTTGGGGCTCATTACACAATAGTTATAATAAGGAACCCCGCCAAAATAGTATAGTAACAACTGTCTAGTAAACTATTGGTTCTCTGAGTCTTTCTTCTCCATTTCCGGGGCTCAGGGTTTGGGGTTCATGGTTCCGGCTTTAGGATACCCTAAACTGTAAACCCTAGCGTTCAGGGTTTAGGGGTTTAGGGTGAGCCCTCAACCCAAAACACTAAACCCTAAGCCCCAAAGCCCTAAAGCCCTAAATGATTACGGGTTCCGCAAGCTCTAGAGGGTGTCGAGCTTGTCATTGTCATTGTGGTTATCGCCTCACGCTGGGCAAAAGGATTCAGTTGGAGTTTACGTAACTTAAAACCATAATTAGGGTTTTTTAAGGATTAGGGATTTGGGATTCGGGTTTAGGGTGCAGTGTAGTGTTTAGGGTGTAATCCCTTTAATACAGGGGCCTTAAATAATTAGACTAGGATTTTGGGGCCGAGTACACCATAATTACAATTAGGAGCTTTGAAAATTGTATGCGTAGTTATTCAGGCCCCTATATTCATCCTTCTAAGCACTGAAAGGTTTTCGAAACCTCGAACCCTAAACCTGAACCAACGTTATTCTCCGCAGTCGCGGCGCCACAGCCGGAGGGCGTGCGGGAGCCAATGCGGCAGGTCAAGTGCTCGATGATAGTAGCAGTGGTAGTAGTAGAAGAAGAAGTAGAAGTAGAAGGAGAAGAAGAAGTAGTAGTACTAGTAGTAGGAGTAGTAGTAGTAGTAGTAGGAGTAGCAGTAGCACATATTCATACGAACCCTCTAAGTTCACCTCCGGGACATGTTTCTGGCCGTGGCCGCTGCTGAATCTTCACGTTTACCCAATGGCCTGGAAGGACCCGGTCCTTTTTTGCAAGCCCTGAATCCTAAGGCGCTAAACTCTACACCCTAAACCCTAAACCCCTATCGCTGAAGGACCTGCCAAGAATTCTTCGCGCGCAGTTTGCTCGAGCCTGTCCGC